TATCACAGAACGATGTTTGAATCCCAAAGTATGAGTGTTGATATGGAGGGGATCCAGCCTTCTAAGCTCTTTGTCAGCCCTTGCACGTTCTTTATCAGTCCTTGTCATCAACCACCTTCGGTCCCTTCGTATCCTACACCACCTATTAAAGTGTTCAACCGTTAATATGCAAGACGTTGTAGACCTAATAACGCTCGTCTTCTAACAGTCTTCTGAACATCTACGAACCCTGAGTACCAAGGCTCCACCTTTAATACGAAGGAAGTAGCGGATCATGCAGCTCTCTCCTTATAAAGTGCTTTGTCTTAATCCAATCGTTATGGTCTCTATCACACATCATCACTGTTCCCATCCTGCCCCCATACTCCTACCAAATTTGAACGCTCTAGGTCTACGTAAACAGGGGTTTCGAATTTGTGTCAAATTTTTATTGCGCACGCCCCCCCCCTGTGCACGGAATCCGGTGTCGCCTCCCACCATGAGTGTTTTCATCCTGCCCATCGTATTCCTACCAAGTTTGAAAGCTCTCGGTTCACGGGTACAGGAGTTATAAATTTGCGGCCCAAAATTGCTATCGCGCACGCCTCGCTCCCTGTGCATGAAGTCCGGTCCTGCCACCCACCATAAGTGTACCCATGCCGCCCCCTGTACTCCTACCAATTCTGAACGCTTTGGGTCCACTGGAGCAGGAGTTATGAATTTACGACCTAAAATTTCTACCGCGCACGACCTGCCCCCTATGGGTGGAGTCTGGTCCTGCCACCTACCATAGGTGTTCCCATCCTGCCCCCCCTTACTCCTACCAAATTTGAACGCTTTAGGTCCACGGGGACAGGAGTTATGAATTTCCGGTCAGACACACACACCGACACACACACAAACAAACACACACACACAAACACACCGACACACCAACAGACACACTTAGCGAATTATATTAAGTAGGATATGCCACAGGTTAACAGCACTCATACATGTAGCATGGTGATCCGGCCATATCAGCATCAAGCCATTAAGCTGTAAGCTGTTTATGTTATGACTTGTTTTGACGCGATACTGCTCGTTCACTGCTGTTCGCCCCAGTACGCGATGCGAAAGTCTCACAAAGTTGGCGATTTGTGGGCAAAACTTCGGCCCGGACGGGACTCGAGCCTGTACTTGTAATTTCTAGGCACCGTGCCCTTATCCCTTACTTTACCGAGTCCCCGATTGTCCTCCTCTTAATGTGAGTTTCAAAAAAGTATCCCGGAATTCGCGTAAGGAATGAATGGGACTAATAACTCCTATGACCCTTTACAATTTCCTTCTTTTCTCGATTAATGAGGTTTGAAAGGTTTCATGACCACTGAGTCTTCCCTCCTGATCAAGCTCGCACATAAGTGCGAAGGAGCTCCAATCAGGCCAAAACGTCAGAAACTGCGCTATGTAAGCGGCGTTTAGGTGGTAATCGAATCCCATGCTACCCAACGGCAATGTGGCTCTTACGTGCCGCGCAAATGACAATCCGGGTAAACAGATCCCATTTATAAATTTCGCCATTTCTCCGGTTGACCGTTATTGCTTCATGTTTTGTTGATGGTGCTATGAGATTGACCTAGGAGTTCGTAAGTCGTGGCTAACGCCGGGCTCTCCTTTTCGTGTGAATTTAGCCTGTCGCCCAAGTTCCTTATAAATTTGCACACTTTGGTACAGGAAAACAAAGGTATGAATCCCCGGTCAAATACGCACACACCAGCACACATCGTGAACGCTTCACTCATCATAAGCGCAGTCTCGCTCAATTGGGTGCATTCGTACTAGGTGCCCGTAACGGCACTCGGTGCAGGTATCGGCACCCCCGGTGCAGATACCGGCACCAGTTACGACATCAGTCAATCCCTCGCATTCGAATACTCATGCTGCGGGATTTCTTTTTGAGATAATCATGCCTATTTTTATCTTCGCTCCTCATTGCAGATTTCGTTGTGATTTTTA